TTATAAAATCAACAGATACTCAAAACGTAAGGTGGATTACAAAACAGACTCAGAAAAATCTACCAAATTTCTGTAAACCCCAGAGCTTTTAGGATAAACTAGAAAAGATTCCTAGTAAAACATTTAAAATTAACACTTAAAAATCAGGATTGGGAAAGTTTCCCCCTAAATGGCTGTTTGGTTCAAGACACTACCTGTCAATGTCCAATTATTTTTGGTAGGCAATAAATCTTCCAACTACAATCAATAGCTAATGTATTTTCAAAAGAATCAGTCAAGTTGTGCTCTGAAAAGAGCTAGCTTTGTTAGAATAGAGGCTGTTTATAAGCTACGTGTTTATATAGCTTTTGCCCTGTTAATGCACACCCACCATCATTTTGTGCTTTTTGTCTAAAAGATGGCTTCTTTTCAAGTCTAAAACCTGTTTCCCAGTTGGACTTGAGTAGCACTAAAATCAAAACAAAATTTTTGAAAACTCCGTTTTATTTCTAACAATATGGCCAGTAGTTGTCAGGTTTTTGTCATTTTATAACATACAGCTACGGAATGTCACATGCAATGAGAGAACACATTTAGGGCTGAAATGCTTTCCAACTTAAGCAAGGTATATTTATAGAACATCAAATCGGAGTAGCTTCAAGAGAGCAGTACAGCTCTCATGCCCCAAAGCAGTAGCCTATTAACACAAACTCCTTCCTCTTCCCTTCTTTTTAGACAAAGCATACTATCTTGCAGGAAAAGTGCTTTACTGGTGCTCTGTGAGCTGGGCACACCTACTCCAAGCCATCTCAAGACTCTGCAGTGAGTTTTTGGCAAGGCTAGAATTCCCAGTAAAATTAAGTTTTTAAAAGAAGTTCAAATCTTCTGTCATAACTATGTTGGTCTCTGGAAGCCAAGATACCTGCCTTATCAAGCTCCACGTCCTTACTAAGCTTTTAACACCCTATTAACTCCTAAGTGCAAGCCCAGCAGTTCAAAAGCACCAGCAGCCCCACTGGAGAAAGATGAGGCTGTCTGCTCTGGAAACCTACAGCGCAGTTCTACTCTGTGCTATCTGGTTTCTGAGTTGGAAATGACTTGATGACAGCCAGTTCACTACAGTTGAGCACTCAGCAGAATTCCATGTGCTCAGTGCCTACCTGTCTCATATCCAAAACCGTTTTATCAGCCTGGATAACCAAGATCAAGCTGAAGACACTGAACACTAACCAAATGGCTTGATTATTTTTAATGATTCAGAATGAAAAATAAGATAAGCATTTTTCAAAAACAAGCATGCTTTTTAATTAAAAACTTGCTAGTTTATAAAAATCATCAAGGTCTAAAACATGATTTAGATTTTGTTTAAAAGAATGTAGCTGGAAAAGAGGAACACGTGGGGATACAAAGGACAGACAACTGCTCACAGGTTAAACTTTCTTCTCTACTTCCAAATGTTTGGAATTTTTCATCATACAATGTGAAACACTCTAAGATAACCCATTTCCTGGCAAAATGCCCATCTATTCTCTGAACCACAGACTCATTTTTTCAGAAGCGCTGCTTCTAATAGCTGAAAATTGCCCTTACTCTGGTACATTTCAACTATTAACTGAGATGGGATTCTAAGATGAAAGAGTAGAATGAGGCAGCAATTTTCAACTAAGTTCTCTAGGATCTCTTTATTTTTTTCTATGATCTCTTTTAAAGAAATTCTGTAAGGCTATAGAAGCAAACACCTGAAATGGCTGAACAAAGTCATGAGTCTCCTTAAAACAAATTACAGTCTGAATAAATCTAACTTCTAACCTGTTTCACTGAAATAAAAGTTGCAGTGCCTCTGCTTGCTGTGGCAGGTGAGGTATTCATTCACTACTGTCTCAGTAAAATCTACACAGCATCCTGACCAAAAGGCAGTAAGTATATCAAGCAAGCCATCCCTCTCCCACTGTCCCTACACAGCCCTCAGATAACAAGAAAGGTAAAAGCAAGCCGGGTTGGGGGGCGGGGGGCAATTTCCACCTTCTTAACTGTGAAGAATCATAACCTTTACCCTATGGATATTAACAGTTGTAGTTTAATCTAAATTTCATTCCTGCCAATGCAAAGGGCAGCAAAATGCGATGTCTAGACTTAATTGTCGTCTAGGCACGACTTAATTGATGTTACAGTAATCCTAAATTCTCAAAGATGTTAGCTATATGCTAACAAACTGAAGTTACACTGTTTCTATACACCTTGTTTTGAAAAATGTATAGATTGTATCATTTAAGGACTACAACTATTCAATCTCCTTTAAAGTATGCCTTGTTCCTGATGGCACAGCAGTTCAAGTGTTCAGCTGCTAACCGAAAGGGAGGATGCTGTGACCACCTGCTTCCACACAGACCACAGCCTTGGGAGCCCTACCGTGTAAACGCTACTCTGTCCTACAGGGTCACAATGAACTCAAAAGCAATTCTGGTTTTTTATTGTTTTGGTTTACAGGTATCCTTACAAAAAAGCCTGTTTTTAACATCAGAATTCAGAAATATGGTGGTTTAACTACCCCAAGATGACAAGATTAAACCTTAGATCAGTAAACTCCAAGCAAACAAAAACTTGCTTGTTAGCTCTGGACATTTCACTCAAAACATAAAACAACGTGGCACAAAACAAGGCCAAACAGCCTAAGCATATTTTCCATTGAGAGAAAGCTAACAGGTACTGAAAGCCTACCTTGTGCCAGGTAACTCTGCTTAGTGCTTGACATGTTATCTCACATAAACTATAATCTAAAAAAAAAAAATCGTGTGAGGCAGCTACTTCTTAAGAGTGACAATTTATAGCAGGGGTCCTCAAATTTTTTAAACAGGGGGCCAGTTCACGGTCCCTCAGACCCGTTGGAGGGCCGGACTATAGTTTAAAAAAAAAACTCTGAACAAATTCCTATGCACATTGCACATATCTTATTTTGAATTAAAAAAAACAGGGCAAAAACACTCGGCGGGCCGTAGTTTGAGGACGCCCGATTTATAGATTAGGGAACCAAAAAAATAAAAAGACTAAACAACTTGCTGACAATCCCAAATCTAGAAATGTTAAGGCAAAGATTAATATAAGCTCAGGTATGTCTGAGTGAAAATTACTCCCTGGATATCCTATCTTGGAGAAGCTCAACAACCAGTATTTCCACACAAGAATTAATGAACAAGTTCAGCTTCCTTCTCCAAGATCAACATCAAAGTTCATGTGAAAGAAATGTGATTTGTACAAAAGAAACATGACCGAAAAAACCGCCTGGGTAAGAAGTCCTTAAACTGCTGCCATCAAGTCACCTTCAACTCTTAGCAACCAGGTAAGGCAGCTCAGGGCTGCGCTACAGGATTTCCAAGACTGCAGTCTTTATAGGATGGCACTGCCATCCTTTTACCCACAGAGCAGCTGGTGAGTTTGGGCAGACAGGCCTGGCCAGTAGGTGAGCAGGCTGCTGAACTACTGTGCAACTTCGGCTCCTCACAATGGGTCAACCTTCCCGGGTTCAGAAACTTCGCAGGATCACATACTGCAATCTTAGAGCTCTAGACAGGTTACTTTATGATACTGTATAAGTTTATAGTACTTTCTTAAAACTTCATTTCCCGGGACTCATTTCCTACCTTCTCTAATCTTTTCTTCTCATTTGTTAACGTTAACCAAATTTTCCTAACAGCTCTCTAAATTTCCACAACCAGCATACAAACACAAGTGAAAGAACAACCTTTAATTCAGAGTTCAACTCGTAATCTGCTACATTGTAAAGGTTACTAGTATCTTGCAAAGAGGCTGGTAGCCCACCTTGTCTATACAATTTAGGAAGTATCTAAGCATCTTCTGCCACCGCTATTTAATTCATAGATGTCAATGCTACAGCCTCCTCAGGCTGTTCAGAATTACCCATATAGCTTTATCTATCAGACTTGGGAGAAAAGAGAAAAATGTAAGCAAGTGCACTATTTATTCGGTTCATGGTGATTCTCTAGCTTTAAATTTCCGACCAAAACAAAAAAATAAATAAATAAATTTCCAACCAAACAAACATTTACAAGGCGACAGGTGAAAAACATTCACTATGGTAATCAACCCCTCAACATTTTTTTTTCTTTCAGTACATGCAAAGCTTTATCTGCACAACCTTGCTAATAAGGGATTGAGGGATTTTTGTAGCTACTTGAAAAACAAAAGTCATGATGGCATAGGAGCCCTGGGAAATTTTCAAAAGCAAGGTACATAAGAGCCCGGCTCAGAATCTACAAGGCACGGGAGTGGGGGGTGATCAGCACTGGCTCCCAATCGCCAAATCTTCCACATTACATCCTGGTGGGTGTAATAATTCACGCAGTCACCCCTCCAGTAGGACTGAACTCGCGTCTCACTAGTTGCTGGGAGTCTCGATGCTCAGGTCATCATTTTTACCACTCGGTGGGGGGAGGGGAGCTAAAACTTAGTTCACTTTATACTGTTTCTATTTGTCTGGGGGGCCGGGGGAGAGGTTTAGGTAGTGAAAGGTTGTCATTAAAGCGCAGGAGGAGTTCCCTCACTTAACCGTTCAACAAACTGCTACAAATGGGCCTGACCTAAAAGACAGGCAAGACTTTCCATATGTGACACACCGCGAGGCTCAAACCCTAACTTTCCAGCTTCTTCCCCGAGAGCGCCTACAGGCAGCAATGCGTGCACGTGGGCCGGCCGGGAACTGCTGTCACCTCCCGAAAGCAGTTGGTGAGAGGGACCCAGGCCGGCGCACCCTCAAAATCCGGCCGGGGACGTGGCCGCTCGCTCGGCCAGCGTGTCGAGAGGCCACGCTGCCCGTCTCCGGCCCGCAGAGCCGGCGCGCCAACGCGGAGGAGGAGCCGCGGAGCCCTGGGCTCGCGGCCGGGGCTCACGGCCCGCAGGCCCGGGCAGCGCCCCTGGGCCGAGTCCGCCGCCCGTTGGCAGGCAACTCAGCCTGCGACAGCGGCACCCCACCTCGTGCGCTGCCCAGCGCCCCGGCCCGCACCCACCTTGACGTCTTCGTCCTCATCCTCGCCTTCCCA